CTTTTATTTCATTTTCTTACCTAATTGCCCTGGCTAGAACCTTGAGCTTTGTGGTGAGTCCTTGCGGGGAAAGGAAGCAGGCATTATTATCTTGTTTCCAATCTCAAGGCAACACAGACTTTCAAATTACATGTGATGCTAGAAGTCAATAAACATGGGGCTGGAGAGTGGTAAAGAGCACTGACCGCTCTTTCAGAGTTCCTGAGTTCAAATTCCAGCAACCACATGGTGGCTCACAACCATCTATAGTGGGGATCTGATGCCCTCTTCTGGCATAAAGGTGTACATGATAGAGCACTCATATACATAAAATGAATAAATAAATCTTTTTTTAAAAAGTCAATAAACATAAAACAATAAAGATACAGTGAAAACAAGGATGTTTTTTTGAGAACAACTTCAATTAATCAGAGTCCATGAACGACAGAACTAGTAAGATACTATACAGCTCTATGAGGAAACTTGTGGGAACTGGCTCACAAGTCTGAAGGCCGAGAATTTCTGTAATACACTACCTACAACCTAAAAGACCAGGAGGACCAGCTGTGTAATTCAATCTAGGTTCAAGGGCATGAGGACAGGTGGTGTGACCCCTGGCCTGAGGTCAGAGCCCTGGAACAGGAGCTCCAGGGCTGGAGTCAGGAGACAGGAGACGACGATGCTCCCGATCAGGAAGTGTCCTCAAGGACCGGATAATGCACACCCACAGTGGAGAGTCAAATTCTTTACTCAGTCTCCTGATTCAAATTCTACTACCTCTTCAGAAACATCCTCAGAAACAGTATTTTAACACCATCTAGACATCCCTCAGCCCAAGCCAAGTTGTCACATAAAATTAACCATCACAACAATAAATCTCTAACTGAGATGAACAGGAAAAAGAGAGAAAACATAATCAACACTATCAGAAACGAAGCTGGCAATACCACAGATCCTGAAAGGATGGTAAAGAAACAAGTCTGTGTTGGTAAGTCCCACAGCCTGGCTGGAGCAGACAACTTTCTTTTTACCTTTTTTCTTTTTTTTTTTTTTTTTTTTTTGGTTTTTCGAGACAGGGTTTCTCTGTGTAGCTTTGCGCCTTTCCTGGATCTCGCGCTGTAGACCAGGCTGGCCTCGAACTTACAGAGATCCGCCTGCCTCTGCCTCCCGAGTGCTGGGATTAAAGGCGTGCGCCACCACCGCCCGGCTCTTTTTACCTTTTTATAGTATTATTTATTTGACACATGTGTGGTAGTGTGCATATGTGCATATCGGAGGACGCCTTGTAGCAATCGGGGTCTGTCCTTTCACCTTGTGGGTCTTGGGGATTGAACTCAGTTCTTCAAGCTTGTGAGCAAGTGCTTTTAGCAGCTGAGGAATCCGACTGGCCTGATAAATTCATTTTTTTGAGTCAGGGTCTTACTATTTGGCCTTGGCTGGCTTAGAACTAGCTAGCCATGTAGACCAGGCTGGCCAAGAACTCATAGAGATCCACCTCCCTCTGCCTCCTGAGTGCTGGAATTTAAAGGTATGTGCAATTATGCCAGCTTCAATAAATTTCTTGAAAAAACAAAACTACCAGTTAATAAAGATGAAATAATCATAATAGTCTTTATCAATTAACTAAGTGGAATTTTTTTTTTCTTTTGAGACAGGATCTCACTATGTACCTCTGGCTGGACTGGAACTCTCTATGTAGACCAGGCTGGCCTTGAACTCACAGAGATCCCCCTGCCTCTGCCTCCTGAGTGCTGGGTAAAGGCATGAGCCATCATGTCTGGTTTTCAAAAAAACATATTATGTGCACTCATGTACACATGCACACATACATTTTTAAAATTACATCTTTGTGTGTGTGTGTGTGTGTGTGTGTGTGTGTGTGTGAACATCCATGCCAGGGGATCCATGTAAAGCCAGTGAACAACTTCCAGGAGTCAGTTCTCTTCCTCAGCCATGTAGACGCTAAGATTCAAGCTTAGGTTATTGGGCTGAGCAGGAACCACCTCAATCTGATGAGACATCTCAACAGCCCCAGGAGCTAACTGTTCCCTGTGTAAGAAAAAGCTGAAAACAGGCGACAAATTACTATGTGGCCAGAAATAGTGGTGCAGCCTTTAATCCCAGAATTCAGGAGGCAGAGGCAGAAGGATCACTGTGAGTTTGAGGCCAGCGTGGTCTACAGAGTGAGTTACAGAACAGCCAGAGTTACACATAGTGAGACCCTGTCTAAAAAAATTTTTTAATCAAATAAGTAAATAAAATAACTTAATGTGTGATCTGATTTTGTTGGTAGTAGAGGATATGCTAAAAACATATTCTAGGAATATTGTCAAATTTGGGCCATCAGGTTAAATCCCTGTACCATGCAAAAAATTTCAGTCTAAAGAGATCTGTCACCATGTTATAACTCAGCCCAGAGGCCCAGCGGGCTCTACCACAACCTCTGAGACGTGAGGAGGGCTCAGAGAACCACAGGAAAGTGGAGCATGCCCTAGAAGCTGGGATAGGATCATTTGAGGACAGAGCTGTGAACTTCACCTGACAGGAGTTACGGGACCCTCTCTCTACATGGATGTGACACCCAAGAGCCATAACAGCCTGGTGGTATTCTTGGACACTGCAAGACCAACCTGAGTGGTCCTCAGGTGGGAGCATGGACTTGGGCCCCAAAGCACAGCAGAATCCTCAATTGGGGGCCTCCAGAACAGTAGCAAGCTCTCTACCGCTGAACTACACCTCAGCCTTTAAGTGCTTTCCAAAAAACAGTGGCGATCCCAAACAACATGAAGGGCTAACTAAATTATGGGTCTTCATGGGTACAGTCTGGCCTTGAAACTGACATACACCCAAGGACTCCTGATCCGTCTGCCTCCATTTCCACAGTTCTGGGATTACAGGTGTGTGCTACCATGCCTGGATTCTAATGTAGTCCTGGAGCTCAAAGTCAAGCCGGCATGACTGCTAGGCAAACACTCTACCAAGCAAGCTACATCCTGAGCCATATATTTTGTGGGGGGGTGAGGATTTTTTTAAAGAATGGTAAGTAGCAGGGCTGGAGGGATGGCTCAGTGGTTAAGAGCACTGGCTGCTCTTCCAGAGGTCCTGAGTACATTGCCCCAGCACCCACATGGTAGCTCACACCTGTCTGTAACTTGTTTCAGGGGATCTGACACCCTCACATAGACATACATGCAGGCAAAACACCAATGAATATAAAGATAAAAATAAAGAAAACATACCAAAATATAATTGAAACTTCAGCTTTATTGTCCTATTTGAAAAGTATGTAATATTTGTTGCATAATAAAATGGAGAAGCACAAAAGGTCCAAGAGGTTTGATTTAGAAACTGCCTATTATCCCATTCCAGGGAAATATGCTAACCTTTGCCACAGTTATTCATCAGCCTTTTCCTATGTATTTTTTTTAGCATAACTCAGATACCACAATTATATAAACCCATATCCAACTTTTTCAAAATATCATACCATTTCCCTCATATTAATAAAAATTCTTTGTAAACATAAATTTAATGAGAATATTTCCTTTGTTTTTTTTTGAGACAAGGCTTTCTCTGTGCAGCCCTGGCTGTCTTGGAACTCACTCTGTAGACCAGGGTGGACTTGAACTCAGAGATCTTCCTGTCTCTGCCTCTCAAGTACTGGGATTAAAAGCATTCGCCACCACACCCAGCTTAATGAAAGCGTATTTCATAAAAACATACTGTAGTGTATTTAAGCACCCTCCTAATAGCAAATACTTAGCTAAGAGAGCTAGTGTGAGGAAGCACACACCGTCAGGGCCACAGTGTCCTAGAAAGGTTGCTTCTGAGAACCCAGGAGGCTATGCAGAGCTTGGGTGAGGTGGACAGAGGGAGCAGTTCACAGGTCCTGGCCCAGACGCTCCAGCTCGCACAGAAGGAAGTCTATATCAGCCTGGACCAGTGTGGGGTTGGCCACCACCATTCGAAAGAAGTTGGCCCGGGTCCCATGGGGCTGGTAGCCAATCATCATGGAGCCCTTCTTCACCATGCGCTCCTTGAGCACAGGTGCCACCTGTGAGTGATGGAGGGCGCGCTGAAGCAGCTGGTCTGGCTGCCTGGACCACCTGGCTCCAAAGGCTGTCTCCCGCATCCTGCCACCTTCCTGCCACCTTCCGCAGCCGACTCACCGCTCACACCCTTCTCCACCACATGCAGCCTGAGTTACCTTCTCTGACTTCTGCTTTCTTCCGCCCTGTCCTGTCTCCAAGGAAACTGGAGCCGGCCGGGAACATCATCCAAGCAGACTCACCTCTGATTCCCAGCACTGCTCCTCCTGGATCTCAAGCCTTCACCCTCAATTCCTTCTCTCCCCTCTTAGTGCCTGACATAGTTTGACCTGTACCATGTGACCGAGTGGTAACTTACAAAACACCTTGAACACAAGTATAAACAAACAGCTCCTCTTCTGCAGCGACAGCCCAGGAGGGCAGGGCACTGGTGCCGCCAGGTTCCTAAGCATCCAGAACTAATCCATTCTTTTTTTTGTTTTGTTTTCTGAGACAGGGTTTCTCTGTGTAGTTTTGGTGGCTGTCCTGGATCTCGCTCTGTAGACCAGGGTGGCCTCGAACTCACGGAGATCCGCCTGGCTCTGTCTCCCGAGTGCTGGGATCAAAGGTATGCACCACCTGGCTGCAGAACTAATCCATTCTTAAGGATAGGGACATAACGTATCTTCCTGCCTCTAAAAGCACGCCTGGGATGATCTTTCTAGGTTCTGTCCCCAGCACAGCGGCAAAGCTACAGACGTCTGTGTGCCGCACACGGGTGAGTCCCTCCGGTAACACCCTTCTGTCTCCTTACTTTCCGGAAACATATCCTTCTCCCCACCTGCACCCCACAAAGAAAGAAGACAAGAGGGTGCTCTCCAGAGCTTGCCATCTCATGAGCGAGGACATGTTGTGCCAGGCACAACCAGCAGAGGGCAGGAATACACCAGTGGCTTAGTTCCCCGAATTAGGTCACCCAGAGGGCAAGCCTACCTGAGACAGCCTCTGGCTGTAATCTGGGCTCTCCTTCTTCCCCCGCAGGCTGGGAGGCACAAACCAGAAGCACACATTGACAAACTCAGGCTGAGGGGAGGATGAGGACGGCATGAGCTGAGGAAGCGGGTGTTTCCCTGTGTCCACTCCTGGTCCTTCAGGAGGCTTCATGTACGGAATGGGGGATGGGCATTCAAAGGATCCAGGAGTCCTACCTCCATGACCAATTCAAATCCTTCTCGCTTTTTTATCTCCTCCACCAGGTACCTGGGAATAAAGGGTGAGAAAGCACAGTGGAGGAAAGGCAGAGGCGGGAAAACGGAAGAGACCCACAGAGGCACAAGGACGCCAATGGAGACTGGAAGAGACGAGATCTGGGGTCCTTCCACACTTACCGGGTGAGAGCAAAGGCCTGGTCGATGCGCTGTTCCAGCCCTTGCCCGCCCTGTGCCTTCCACATGAGCCACAGCTTCAGACAGTCCACGCGGCGGCCACACTGCACCACCTTGTCTCCAGTGTCCAGAGCCACATCGTAGAACTTGTCCTGCTGGAAGAGGTAGCTGGCCTGGGACCCATGGCAGCGCTTGAGCAGGTTCTGTGGGGAAGGAGCCGTCAGAGCAGACCTCCCTACAGGGTGACACGGAGGGGTCTCAACAGGGCCTCCCCTCCCCTCTCCCTGCAGCTGGGCAGCACTGAGGACAGCTGCCAGCCAACCCTGACCTCTCTCTGGGTTGCTCCCAACACCAGAGCTCTTCCCAAATTCTGCACTGGATCCCCCTGACCGCAACGACGAGCTAGAAACCCTCTCTGTCCCATGAGAACAGGCCACTGGGTGCATGGGAGCTCGACACAGGGTTAGGGTGGCCACAGGAACTTGGTTTCAGTTGGGAGGGTAAAGGGAACACATTCAGGCTGGATTCCTCCATGGCGAAACAGGGAAGCTAAGGAGGGCCGGGGTCTGGGGTGAGGGCAGACCCACCGAGGTGTCCCGGAGAAGAAGAGCGGAGCACTGCAGCCCTGCACCGAGAAGCTTGTGAGGGTTCCAGGCCACGGAGTCAGCCCTGGGCGAGACAGCACGGCTGGGTCAGTGGTTCCTCCTCCACCTGCCTAGCAGAGCCTTCCTCTCCTTCCAGACACCCAGTGAAGGGCCTACCCCTTCCCCAGCAGCCAGAAGGAAGTCCCAGGCCTGCCCTCCCTCTAACCATCAATCAATCATCTTTCCAGTTTTCATCCCACCCCTCCCCAGCTTCCCTAGTTTGTGACTATTGTGAGGACCAAAGTTTTGAAGAAAGGGGTTCGGGAAGGAGGCTGTATGCACCTCTGGATCCCATCCAGGAGATGCCTGTGTGTCCGGGACAGCAGGACGCTCCCACCCCAGGCAGCCTGTGGAGCAGGAGGAACAGCGTGGGTCTTGGCCTCAGAGGGGCCCACCCTACCCCCTCGACCCGAGTCTCACTCACATCCACATGGAACCATAATCCGTGACGCTGGCAAACATCAGCAATCGCATCCAGAGGGTCAAAGGCCCCGAGCACGGTGGTACCAGAGGTGGCACTGACCAGAAACGGCACAGAGCCCTGTTGCCAAAAGGTAGAGAAGAAAGAGTCATTGGTAAAGCTGTTCAGATGCTGGTGATGTGCCCTACGCTCTCTGCACGCCTGTCCCCAGCCCTGCACCAACCTCCTCTGCAATCTGCGGGCAGGGACACTAGGGTTCACAGATACAGCAGAACCTAGGTCCACCGTTCCCGTGGTTTGTGCTCTTTCACTTTCAGTGTTGGGCTGGGCAGACAGCTCAGTCAGTAAAGTTAACTACCTTGAAAATACATGGACCTAAGTTCGATTCCCAGAATCTATGTAAACACACACACACACACACACACACACACACACACACACACACACACACACCCTCTAGCCTGTAAACCCAGCTCTGGGGAGACAGAGATAGGTAGGCCCTGGGGCTTGCTGGCCAGCTAGCCTAGCTTTGCTGGTGAGCTCCAGGCAGAAAAAGATCATCTCAAAAAGCAAGGTGGAAGGCTCCTGGGGAGCAACGCCAGAGGGTGATGATAGAGTTCCACGTGCACACGAACACACACACAAACATAAGCACTGAAGAGGCATACTGAAAAGCCCCACACTACAAAGTTCATACCGACATCAGATCAGTGATTAAGAACCTTAGCCTACCCCAAAGAGAAGCCCAAGCATGGACGGCTTCACTGATGAATTCTATCAAACATTTAAAAACTGAACACTGCCGGGCGGTGGTGGCACACGCCTTTAATCCCAGCACTCGGGAGGCAGAGGCAGGCAGATCTCTGTGAGTTCGAGGCCAGCCTGGTCTACAGTGCGAGATCCAGGAAAAGCGCAAAGCTACACAGAGAAACCCTGTCTCGAAAAACCAAAAAAAAAAAAAAAAACTGAACACTGCTGGGTTGGAAAGACAGCTCAGCAGTTAAGAGCACAGAACCAGCTGCGCTTCCAGAGGACCCACACATACATAAAATATCTTAAAGCAGTAAAAGCACTGGCTGCTCTTCCAGAGAATCCAGGTTCAAGTTCCCACATGGCAGCTCACAACTGTCTGTAACTCCATTCTCAGGAGACTCAGCACCCTCTTCTGGCCTCCCTGGGCACCAGGCACACACGTGGCATATAGACATACATACAGGCAAACCACACATACATATAAAAATAAAATTAAAATTAAAAAAACAATAAATAGATATTACCAGTTTACAAATACTTCCTCCCCACAAACAGAATGCATAAAACCAACTAGAGCTGGAGATCGAGACAGTGCAGTGCAAGAGCACTTACCTAGCTCACCTGAGGTCTTAAGCAGAATCTCCAAAACCAACCACACAAAAAGCAAACAGCAATAACAAAACACATCAGGCAACTGTGTGCACACACAAAGGAACGTGAACACAAAAATGAAACCAAGAAGCAGGCATTGACGGCACACGCCTTTAATCCCAGCACTTGGGAAGCAGAGGCAGGAGGATCTCTGTGATTTTGAGGCCAGCCTGGTCTATACGGAGAGCTCAGGACAGCCAGGGATACACAGTGAGATCCTGTCTCAAAAAGACAAAAGAAGGGGCCTGGAGAGATGGCTCAGAGGTTAAGAGCACTGACTGCTCTTCCAGAGGTCCTGAGTTCAATTCCCAGCACCCACATGGTGGCTCACAACCATCTGTAATGAAATCTGGTGCCCTCCTTTGTATACATAATAAATAAATAAATAAAAATCTTTAAAAAAAAAAAAAAGACAAAAGAAACTAAGAAAATAATCTCCTGTAGCCAGGCCTGGTGGTGCTAGCCTATCATCAAAGCTATTCAAGCAGCTGAGGAGGATTGATACGTTCAAAGCCAGCCAGGGCTACAAGGAGAAACCCTCTCTCTCAAAAAAAATAAATAAATAAATAAATAAATAAATCAGTCAATCAGTTAATTAATTAAAGCCCCAAAAGAGAGCTCTGGGGATAGTTTGGTGATGGAGCATTCGCTTGGAACGTTCAATGCCCTAGGTTCCATCGCCAGTACTAAACACATACACACAAAACCAAAATTACAAAAAGTCAAAAGACCTGCAGGTGTGGCTCCGCACTCTGTAATCCTGGCACTTGGATTTAGAGGCAGGAGGATCAGGAGTTCAAGGCCAGCCTGGGTTACACAGGACTCTGTCTTAAAAAAAAAAAAAAAAAAAAAAAAAAAAAAAAAAAAAAAGACCTAACTGTAAGAATTTAAATTATGCTCTGTGTGTGTGTGTGTGTGTGTGTGTGTGTGTGTGTGTGTGTGTGTGGTGGTGCATGCCTTTAATCTCAGCACTTGAGAGGCATAGTCAGGTGGGTATCTTTGAGTTCAAGGTCAGTGTGATGTGGGTTCCAGGCCATTGAGGGCTACATACTTAGACACTGTATCAAAATATAAAAACAAAAATAATGTAAATTATAAGGAACTGGGCAGAAGGCTCAGCAGTTATGAACATTGCTGCTTCCAGCAGACCTGAGTTTAACCTCAGCACCCACGCTGGATGACTTATAACTACCTGCAACTCCAGTTCCACATGATCCAACGCCCTCTCTGGTCTCCACGGGCACACGGGCAGTGCGCTCACACGCACATGCACACACAGACATATATACACATAGTTAATTAAAAGTATAAAACACTTAAAATATTAAAAGAAACTTTGTGCTTTTTGTTTAAATAAGACACGATATCCAAAGCACAAGGAACCAAGGCAGGGGTGGGGTGGGCAGCAGGATGGCCAGAAGTAACAGTGTTTGCCACCGTCTTACAGTTTGTGTGACTCCTGAGCCTCCCATGATGGAAGGACAGAACTGACTCTCTGACCTCCATATGCATACTTAAGGGGCTGAGGCAGGAGGATCACTTCAAGTTTGAAGTCAAGTTGGGCTACACAAGAGGACCTTGACTCAAAAACAAAAAAAAAAATTAAAAATGGAATTATCAGTAGGTTCCACTTCTGGTATGAATCCTCCAAACCACAAGGGGAGTGCTATGGTCTTGGTATGGTTTTGTGTCACTGTGAACTATTAAGAGAGTAGAAATTTAATCCAACTGTGATGCCTGGGGGTGGGAGTGGGGTGACTGGGCTTACTTAAGGTCACCAGGTGGCCCTTATGGTTACCTCTATAGCTGAGTAAGGAGAGACCGGAGGAGACACCCACACCTGGTCCCTGTCTCTTACCATGTGATGTCCTGTACTGACTCGGTGCTCTGCCAGCAAGAAGGCCATCACCAGGTTTAAGCCTTGAACCTTGGACCAGAGCTGGGAGCCAAAATAAACCTCTTTTCTTTATTAAGTTACCCGGCTCAGGTACTTCACTGTACTAACTAAAAGTAGACTAACACAGGGTCTTAAAGAGGTAGTTGTCCAGCCGGGCGGTGGTGGCACACGCCTTTAATCCCAGCACTCGGGAGGCAGAGCCAGGTGGATCTCTGTGAGTTCAAGGCCAGCCTGGGCTACCAAGTGAGTTCCAGGAAAAGGCACAAAGCTACACAGAGAAACCCTGTCTCGAAAAACCAAAAAAAAAAAAAAAGAGGTAGTTGTCCAAACAGCGTTATCTGCAATAACTAGAGTGTAGAAGCAACGTAATATTGATTGCTGGATGAACGGATACTCAAACAACAAATACATAGAGTAGAAATTAAGGGTTTGTTTGTTTGTTTTTGTTACTGTTGTTGTTTGTTGCTGTTTTAGTTTTTTCAGACAGGGTTTCTCTGTGCAGCCCTGGTGTCCTGGATCTCGCTATGTAGAGCAGGCTGGCCTTGAACTCAGATCAGCCTGCCTCGGCCTCCCGAGTGCTGGGATTAAAGGCATGCACTACTGCCACCCAGCAGAAATCAAGTTTTAACACACGAACTTTCAGACAGACTCAAACCATATCCAAGTCGCAGTAATCTGGACTGCCCTCTGCAAATGTAGTAATGCCCCACCCCCAGCCACTGTCAGAAAACAAAGTGAAGGCAGATCGGCACACTTCCAAATGTCCTCTCAGGACAGAGCGGAGTCAAAGGCAGCCCCTGCCCCAAGAACGTCCACAGATGGGGAGGGCTGTGTGGGGAGTGGAACATTCTAGCAGGGAAAGTAGGTTCTCCCAGCTCTCCAGCGTCAGCGCCAGCGCAAGCTCGGGATGTTCTTGTCTGGCCACCACCTGATGCATGCCTCTTCTCCCTGCAGCCTCAAGCACCGTTCCTGAGGGTGTCCCACCCCACTGCTCTCTCACCTGACTTGATTTTACTGATGCTCCTGCCGGCCTCTGGGACAGCAAACACAATCGTTTTATAACGATCTATGGGTGTTGATCCTCCTTACACTAATAAAAATAACCTATCAAAATAAAACGAGTGAGGTGGAGAGGTAGTTCAATGGTTAAGGGAACTCACTGCTCTTGCAGAGGACCCAGGTTCGGTTCCCAGCACCCACACAATGGCTTACAACTACCTGTAACTCTAGTTCTAGGAGATCTGACATCCTTTTCTGATCTCCATTGGCTCCTGAACACACACACACACACACTCACACACACACATATACACATACACACACACACACACACACACACACACACACACACACACACACACACACAGAGATAGGTAATATCTATTATGATGATAGATACATGTCTGATAAGCACATAACAAGATTCTCAATATCATTAATTAAATAAGGAAATGAAAATCAAACTACGCTGGGGTGGTGGTGGTGGTGGTGCGCGCCTTTAATCCCAGCACTCGGGAGGCAGAGCCAGGCGGATCTCTGTGAGTTCAAGGCCAGCCTAGTCTATAGAGCAAGATCCAGGACAGGCACCAAAACTACACGGAGAAACCCTGTCTGGAAAAACCAAAAAAAAGAAAATCAAACTACAATGAGATCACTTCACACTCAGCAAGTGGCTATAACCACAAAGACCTGGTGCCACAGGCCTTGTAACCCTTAGCTACATGGAAGGCTGAGGCAGGAGGATCCCAGGTTCAAAGACTACCTGAGCTAAAGGATGAGACCCCATTTCCAAGAACCAACATAGAGGACCAGGACTACTGCTCACTTGAGAGAAAGCTTGCCTAGCATGCATGAAGCCCTAGGTTCAATCCTCGGCACCACTAAACCAGGTATAATAGTGCACATCTGTAATCTCATGACTCAGAGGTAGAGACAGGAGGATCAAAAGTTCAAAGTCATCCTGGGCTAGTCCAGCATGGGCTACAAAGGATACTTCCCAAACATATTGTATAATTAAAATAAATACCAAAAAGGTGTGTGTATGTGTGCATATGTGCTGAAGATGTACCTCAGTTAGTAGAGAGCCTGCCCAGCATTCACAAAGCCCTAGGTTCAATCACACAACACAGCTTGAACCAGGCTGTGGTGCGTGCTCACATCCTCAGCACTCAGTTGGTAGAAGCAGGAGGGTCAGGACTGACAGCCGTCCTTGGCTACATAGAGGATTCAAAGCCAACCTGAGCTACAGGAGACCCTTTCTCAATAAAAGAACAAAAGAAATCAATATCAAGTATTGGTATGCATGAAGAGAAATGAGAACATCATACACTCCTGGAATTTTAAAATGGTACAGTTACTTTAGAAAAGATTAGAGCCAGGCGGCGGCGGCAGGGGCAGCGCACATCTTTAATCCCAGCACTTGGGAGGCAGAGGCAAGAGGATCTCTGTGAGTTTGAGGCCAGTCTGGTTTATACAGTGAGTTCCAAGACAAGCAGGACTACCCAGAGAAACCCTGTCTCAAAAGCAAAAAAACAAAAAACAAAAGACAAAAACAAAAAATTAAGAAAGGATGGTAGGAAGGAAAGAGAGAGGGAGAGAGGGAGGGAGGGAGGAAGAACAAAGAAAAGAAAGAAAAAAAGGAAGGAAGGAAGGAAGGAAGGAAACAGGTTAGGAATCCCGATCCCTATCTGGGAACTACCAACAGCTGACAGCTTCTGAGAGGAGGGTCAGTTGTCTTTAAGGGTGTGGCACTTGGAACCAAACTCCAATGGGAGCACAAAGTGGAATCAGTCGCTACTATATAACAATAACAACATCGATGATGAAGAAGAGGACATAGGTTGGAGATGCTGCTCTTCTGGAGGACTGAGTTCAATTCCCAGCACCCACGTCAGGTAGCTCACAACTGCCTGTAACTTCGACTCCAGGGGTATCTTGATGCCTTTGGACTCTACACGTGCCTACACTCGTTTGCACACACCCACACACAAACATATCATTTAACTATAAAAACACTGTGGCTGGAGAGATGGCTAAGAGCACTGGCTGCTCTTTCAGAGGTCCCAGGTTCAATTCCCAGCACCCACATGGCAGCTCACGACTGTAACTACAGTTCCAAGGGACTGGACTCTGTATGCACTGCATGTACACACTACGCAGATATACATGCAGGCAAAACACCCATCCCCATAAAATACAAATAAATAAACTTTAAAAATAGCTCTTTTCAAAAAGAGAGGTGGACTGGAGAGATGGCCAGCAGTTAAGAGCACTCGCGGCTCTTGCGGTAGGTTGGTGCCCAGCACCCCACGGCTGCTCTCAACCATCTGTAACTCCGGCTCCAGGGCATCTCATGCTCTCTTTTGGCCTGGGCAGGCACCAGGCATGCACATGATTATACATTAAGACAAAGATTAATTTAAAATATAATGAAAGACATAAAGTTGGGAGGAAATGGGGAACGGCACAGCACACGGAAGGAGTCATGGGGAGACCTGGGGGTTAATATGATCAAAATACATTGTATGCACGTATGAAAGTCTCAAAAAATAACCTTTTTTTGTCAATTAATTTTTATTTTATGTGTATTTTGTCTGCGTGTATGTCTGTGTAGACATGTACATGCAGTGTCTGTAGAGTCCAGATCCCCTGGAACTGGAGTTTCAGACAGTTGTGAGCTGCTATGTGGGTGCTAGGAATTGAACCCGAGTCCTCTGGAAGAGCAGCCAGTGCTCTTAGTCACTGAGCCATGAAACTTTTTTTTTTTTTAAAGAGGAGAAAAATGTTTCTTCTCCAGAAGGAAAAGAGAAAACAGGTTAGCACTCCCTCTACGATTAAATAAGCAATTCCACTCCTAGATATACAACCAAAAACAGAAAAAAGAAAGAAAAAGAAAAGCAAGCTCCGGGGGGTGGTGGCTCAGGCCTTTAATCCCAGCGTTTGGGAGGCAGAGGCAGGCATGTTCACACCAAAGCCTGGGCACCGATGCTCACAGCAGCATTATTCACGGTTGCTGGAAAGTGGAAACCACCCAAAGGTCCATCAGCTGGGAAATGGATATATAAAATGTACAAAACTATATCACGAAAATTATTCAGCCGTAAAAAGGAATGAACACAGATGAACTTGAGGACATTATACTAAGAAAAAGAAATTCTTTGCAAAAGGCCAGAATTAAAGTCGGGTGATGGTGGCGCACGCCTTTGATCCCAGTGTGTGGGAGGCAGGAGCAGAGGTAAGCAGATCTCAGTGAGCTCAAGGTCAGCCTGGTTGCCAAAGCAAGTTCCAGGACAGCCAGGACTGGCATACAGAGACACCCTGACTTGAAAAACCAAAAAAAAAAAAAAAAGCCAGAATTATTCCTAATTCCAGGATAGAGAAGCTCAGAGGCACTGTGCTGGTCACTGGCTGCCCAGACCTGGGGGGTGGAGAATTGTGGTACATGGCAATGATGATGAAGATGGCAACAGTTGTGTGGTGCCCCCCCCCACGCCTGTAATGACAGCACCAAGTGAGATCAAGCTTGAGGCCAACATGAGCCGCATACTGAGTTCAAAGACAGCAGCTAATGTCCGTCTAGTGTATCCATGTCCAGGAGCGAGTCTAAGCATTATGCACACTAATTAATTTAATCCTTACAACAGCCTTATGTAGTGACTTCTGTAGTACATCCATTTCACAGAGGAAGAAACTGACGTAATTTATCTTCTTATCTACCTGTAGTGCATTCATGCTGAGCTCCTGGCCTGGCTCCAGAGAGCAGCACCTAGCCCTCCTCCTTCCTTTGTTTAACCACACCTTTTGTTGGTTTCTCTTACTGCCCTATGTGAATCTTGTCTGAGAGTCAAGGATCAGAGAGTCCTCCAAGGATCAAAGGCCTGTGCAAAACGTGGTCCAGGAAACCTGGAAAACCCAGGTACCTGATAAATCAAGTAATTTGCACTTGGCATTTGGTCTCTGGGAGCTCCTTTTAGGTTGCTTTGAAGGTATGGAAATTAAGTGGCTAAACTGTAATAGAAAATAAAAATGTCCTGGGCAAAGGGAAAGTGCTTCAGTCCTTCGAGGCTGAACCCCCCTGCAGCCATGAAAGGCTAGATTCATCCTTAAGATGCCTCTCCTCTGAGTCTTCATTCCACCGACCCGCGTGAACTCACACACCCATGACGGGACACACAACGACATCTACCAATGGGCATTAAATTGTTCTCATTTCATACTTTGTTCCAGTAAATGTCCTCACGCACAGAAGTCTATGAGCTTGTGATAATTAACAACAATTCTCTGAACAGAGGATCTCTGAATCTGCAGGCAGATATATTTAAAACCTGTACACGGTACCAATCACACCCCACCTGGAAGCGAGAAATAACGGCCCACCTTCTCCCCCATGGCAGCAACGCTCATCAAAGCCTTCACATCCTTCTCAGTGTCTCCCTGTCCTGACTCTCGGTCCACAGAAACCTTCCACACTATGTATGCTTCGGGCACCTACCATGTCCCCACAGGGCTGCTTGGGATCCCCTTGGAAATTCAGAACCTAACCCACCTGCAAGTCTCTGCAGAGTCCCCGACACTAACAGGTGTGGAAATAAAGGAGTGGATGAGCGGTATCGCCAGCAGGAAGAACCCAACCCACCTTTCATGAGGGGAGAAGGGCCCGCCCCGCAACCCAGTGACCTCACTCACCTCAGCCTCGGCCAGACTAATCTGCCTCTCCAGATCTTCAGGGATCATTTTCCCTCTGAAAAAGAAAACCGGGTGAGTGGACAAAGTGCAGGTCCTCCAGAGCAGGAGAGGTCACCAGACACAGCCGGGTAAGCCAAAGAAGCAACAGAGGGGCCATGGCACACACTAACACCTCAGAGCACAGGCTGGGGATGGGAGTGGGCACCGGGAAGCGGGAGCGGCAAAATTCTGAAAGAAGAGTAGGCAGGAGAGGTGCACCAGGAATGAGGGCCTGAGGCCAGAGCATTTTCATAAGTAGGTGACACACGGTGCCAGGCTGGGTCAGGGCCATGTCGGCAGAAGGACCTTCACCTCTCATCAGCCTTGACCACTCGGACACTGTCAGTGCCAAGTCCCAGAAAAGCAGCTCCCTTACTGATGGAGTAGTGGCACTGTGGAAGAATGCAGAGGGCAAGTTAGCATGACCTGAGGTGACTGGAGCTGCGGCCCAGGGGCGAAGGATGGGGAGGGCAGAGACTGGTAAAAGCTGTGTGAGCTGCAACTGATGGGACCTTGTGGCCAGGGCTTTCAAGTGTTCATGTGAAGGGATTGTGTTGGATCTGAGTTAAATAAAGACTCAGAGCTGGTGGGGCCTGAGACTGCATTTCTAATAACCTCCCAGGTGATGTCCATATTGCTGGACCGTGAACTATCCTCAGAAGTGGAACCTGTGTCTAATGTACTTGTCTTATCCTACTTCCAAGAAAGCAAAAATGAGTATACACACATATTCAGCCTCCTTGGAAGAAAGCACACCCATTGGAGGGCAGGAAGAAGACTTGTAGGGTCTCTGATTGAGCTGAAGATTAGACTCAGGAGTCAGGGTTAGGCACGTGACTCTTCCCTACCTCCTTTGATGTGAAGAGGGCCAAGGGTGGCAGTGCCCGGAGGCCTCTCTGCTTGCAGTCTGGGTAGCGCTGATAGCGGGCCAGGTTCATGGCATACATGTTCGAGATGGAGCCGCCTGTCACAGAGAGTGGGCGGTAGCAAGGTGGTGAGTCAAGACTTCAGTTTCCTTCCCCTGACCTTTCTACCCAGAATTCATCAAAGAAGCAGGCATCACATTAGCTCCCGAGCCATGAATTCCCAGGATTCACAAATAGCACAGGAACCTGAAGAGCCCCAGGATCAGAAGACACCCCCTACACACCCTGGGCTGGCAACTAGGGTCACTTTTCCCATGATGGCCTCCAGAGCATTTCTGGCCAATGCCAGGATAAAGGGGACTGGGAAGCCTCTCCAAGGTCCAGCCCAGTGGAACCAGAGAGGAAACAGCCATCGCCCTCCATACTAGTTGCACAGAATAGGAGAAAGTAGAGGAGGTAGACCCTTTACAAAGACCCAAGTACAGCCCCCTTCTCACATACCAGGACAGAAGACCCCATCCCCAGAGTTCCAGCCCACCAGGGCACGGAGTTTCTTCAGCACCTCCTCTTCCATGAGAACAAACACTGGGGCAATCTCATATGTGTACCTGTCAGAGAACGTCAGTGAGAAGGAAGACTGAGGTGGAAGTACTGCCCAGCTAAGGCTTTAAACTAGGGGAGTGGGAGGAGGTGAGGAATCCCAAGAGAGAAATTGGTGGGTGTCAAAGAACCAGAGAGCTCACATGAGAAAACATGGGGTCAAGAGGCATGAGGAGGTTGGACGACAGAAGCCCAAAGGACAGACAGGAGGGAGAACATTCTGTCAAGCGGCATTTGCAGAAACAGTGGCATGGGGCAGAAACCACTCTTCTCTTCTACCCAGATGACTCTCCCCTAGCAAACCCAAGTCCTTTGTAGAAAGAGGACACTAGATGGCTCACTGGCTGGTGTTGAGGGTTTCTGTGATGATGCGGCCAGCCAGAGCATGGGGATCTAACCCTGAGAAGAGCTGGTTGAAGAACCGGGGGTGACCTGGAGAAGGGGGAGCAGGCAGGGGTCTCAGGGTGGAGCTGGGGACTGGGGCCAGAAACCCCTCCCGCCAGGATCCCGGGCACACCGGTCTTGACACTGTAGTGAATCACGGCCCGGCAGCGCTCCAGGATCCGCTCCCGAGACTCGCCCTGGCTCTGCAGCTCCAAATCCAGCAGCTGCTTCAGCTCTTCAGGCTCCTTCCATTCACAGACCTAGGAGGAGTGGCCAAGACGCAGGGATTTTAGACCATGGCTGAGATCCAGCCATAATGTAACAGATGCAAGGCATCACCAACTCCCAATGAAAATAGGTCAAGAACGCTTTCTTTCACAAGTGTACCCAAGCAAGGGGAAATGAAGGACGTAAGCGAGATCCAGGGCGCAGATCTTGAGGCACACAAGGGACATGGGTGAACTCGCTGGAGTCAAGTTTACAAGACGACGGGAGGAGGAGGAGGAGGAAGGAAAAAGTCCCACCTTCTCGGAGGCACTGGTCCCTTTGCGAACGGCCTCATCTAGGACGATCCCAAACACATCCCGGAGCAAGGCCTCCACAGCCATGGGATCCCCATCCAGGGCAGTGAGTGGTCTTGAGGCAGCCATCAGGATGAAATCTGCAAGCAGAGTGGAACGGTTCCTCATTCGGCCTGCGTGCCCCACTGGACCCAACACGCAAGACTTTCTACTTGGTAAAGGGTCCAAGGTCCTGGCTAAGTACAGACGAGGGTAGGTGGTAGCATCCAAGGAGAAAGCCGGTGGCAGCAGGAAGGGAGGGAAAGGCAACCAATGCTAAGTAGGTGGGATCGGCGGCCACCGTCTACCTAGGGCAGAGACATAGCACTTACCTTTCTGCCCAGGTCTATGTTCAGATGAGCTGGTGACAAGGTACACCATGAATAATAGGACCAAGACAGCGGAGAGTAGAGTAAAGCCAGAAGTCACATGGCCGTGGCATAACTCTCATGACCCTTGCCCGGATGAGAACTTTTACAGATTTGGGACAGGGACAGCTGGCTAAGTGCCCTGAATAATCATTAGCTGACAGAAGAAGGGGGGGGGGGGCATGAAGAGCAAGGCAAAGGCAGGTGGCACATCTACCTCAGGGAGGGGATCGGGAGTGGAGAAGGGATTCGCATTGTGACTCTAGTCCAGGGCATGGGGGAAGGCTGGAGGAAGGCGAGGCAAACAGCCCAGGAAGGGACTGAGTGTGAGAGTCAAACCATTCGACTTCTGAGACTGCAAAACTATTCTAGTTTCTCCTCTTCTTCTTCTTCTTCTTCTTCTTCTTCTTCTTCTTCTTCTTCTTCTTCTTCTTCTTCTTCTTCTTCTTCTTTTCTTCTTCCTCCTCCTCCTCCTCCTCCTCCTCCTCCTCCTCCTCCTCCTCCTCCTTCTCCTCCTCCTTCTCTCTCTTTCTCTCTCTCTGACAGAAGGTTTCTCTATGTAGCCCTGGCTGTCCTGGAACTCACTTGGTAGCCCAGGCTGGCCTCAAACTCACAGAGATCCACCTGCCTCTGCCTCCTGAGTGCTGGAATTAAAGGTGTGCGCCACCACCGCCCGGCTAATTTTCTTTTTCTTCTTCTTTTTTAGGGTTGCATGTATCCCAGGCTGATCTCCAACTTGATGTGTGGCCAACAATGATTTTGAACTCATCTTCCTGCATCTACTTCTCAAGGGCTAGGATTATAGGAATGAGCCACATCATACCCAGTTAATATCATCCTGGGACTCAGACCCAGGGTTTTTTGTTTTTTTTTTTTTTCTTTTTTTTGGTTTTTCGAGACAGGGTTTCTCTGTGTAGCTTTGCGCCTTTCCTGGAACTCGCTTTGGAGACCAGGCTGGCCTCAAACTCACAGAGATCCGCCTGGCTCTGCCTCCTGAGTGCTGGGATTAAAGGCGTGCGCCACCACCGCCCGGCAGACCCAGGGTTTTGTACATGCTAGGCAAGCACTGTACCAACTGAGCTACATCCATACCTTAGCCTCCCCCATCCCCCTTCTCTTTAGATGGAGACTTAGACATAGCCCAGGCTTTCCTTAAAACCAAACTCCTCCTGCTTCAGCCTCCAAGAACTGTGATGAACAGGCCTATGCTGTCAAGCCTGCTCTTCTGTCCTGGCTTCTGAAGTCCTCTCACAGGAGACCACGTTGAGGAAGTACTGTGTCACACAAGCATGCTCTCTTGCCATCCATACTAGGAATGAGACAGCCCCTGCCCTGACGGAGGACACAGACACTCATGCAATAATAGCGTAGGGCCTGATGGATCCTGACCCTAAGTGTCCTCAGAATTCAGAAAAGAAGTCCCAGGAGGCTGAAGTCTGGGAAGATCTGTGATAAAAGTGCAGCTGAGACTTGAGTCTGGGCAGGAGAAACAGAGCAGGTAAACAAGAGGTGAGAAGCACTGGAACAGAAGGAAGACCATGAGCTAATATGGGGATGAGCAAGGCTGGTTGATTCAGGCAGGAACTGGCCAGCTGGGACACAGGAGCAAAGGTGAGTGTGTTACGGCAAGCCTTAAACATCAACCAGACCCAGGAATCTAATCTCACCCTGCAGAAAATGAAGTCACTACAGGACTCTGTAGCAAGTCTTATAATTAAATTGATGCTGACAGCTAGTTGTGCTAGTTCAAGTCTGCAACCACAACTGGAAGCAGAGGCAGGAGGATCATGGCAAGTTCCAGGCCAGTTAGCACCACATACAAAGACCTTAACTAGCAAAGACAAAAACAAAACAAGAGTTAGAATGGGAAAGATGAGCGAGGTGGTGGTGGTGAACACCTTTAATGCCAACACTCTGGAGACAGGGGCAGATGGATCTCTGTGAGTTCAAGGCCAGCCTAGTCTACAGAGCTAGTTCCAGGACAATCAGAGATACACAGAGAAACCCTGTCTCAAAAAAGTTATATATATATATATATATATATGTGTATATATATACGTATATATATATAATTATATATATGAAAATTGATGTTTTCAGCTGATGTGTGTGTAGGCCCACTACTACAATCCTAGTGCTTAGAAAGTTGAGGCAGGAGGATCACTATGAGTTTGAGGCTAGCCAAAACTACATAGAAAGCCCTGTCTTAAAAAAAGGAAGAAAGAAAAGAAAGAAAGGAAGGAAGCAAGCAAAGAGAGAAAAGAAAGGAAAAGAGGGCTGGAGAGATGGCTCAGAGGTTAAGAGCACTGGCTACTCTGCTAAACATCCTGAGTTCAATTCCCAGCAACCACATGATGGCTCACAACCATCCATAATGAGGTCTGGTGCCCTCTGGCCTACAGGCATACATGCAAGCAGAACACTGTATACATAATAAATAAATTAATTTTTTAAAAAAGAAAGGAAAAGAAAGAGAGAGAAAGAAAGAGCAAGCTGGGTGGTGGCGGTGGTGGCCTATGCCTTTAATCCCAGCACTCGGGAGGCAGAGGTGCCAGTCTTGTCTACAAATGGAGTTCCAGGACAGCCAGAGCTGTTACACAGAGAAACTTCTCAAAAAAACAAGAGAGAGAGAGAATGAGAATGAATGAATGAATGAATGAATGAATGAATATAAAACATGCTCAAGAGGCCAGTTTTGGCAGCAGGACGCAAGGAGAATTGACAGGCAAGGAGCAGACTACACCAGGTTTGGACATTCTCTGGGTTACACTGCTTCTGACAAGTCTCTGTTGAAGGAAATGGAAGACTCAAAGATGACCGTGGAGTTCTGTACTTGGGTGACTGGAAAAGTTATAACCCCAGGACAAATGTGAAGGCAAGAGGAAGACACCGGAATGAAAGTGAAGGAGAGACTTCCTGCAAGTGTCCATCCAAGTGAAGCCTTCCCGAGACAGAGATCTGCCCTTGGGGAAGGCCCAGCTAGAGCTCCAGGGAGCTGAATCTTTGTAATGCTCAGAGGATGGTTGAGGGAGAGGTTTGAGGTTTGAGGAACCCCAGGAGAGTGCAAGCGGGTCTGAACACAGCCACTTTCCTGAGTGTGACTGCTCAGGCGTAATCCACTGTCAGCATTCACTGGGCTTCACACTGGCATTCACTGAGACACTCAGACATTTTATGTGTACTGGGTCTGGAGAAGTGGGAGCACTAGCCGGGATGTGAGATGGGGGGTCAGTTCTTCAACACCACTCTGCCAGCTCCCCTACCCCAACAGTGACTAACATGGAGTACAAAGGTCAAAAGACTAATTAAACAGGCAAATGGGGCTAGGGTAGAGATCAGAGCTTGCCTACCACATATAAGACCCTGGGCTCCATCCCCAGTACTACAAAAACAAACAAGATATAGGTGATCTCTTATTAGTATGCACAGAACTTCCTCACTGTTCTTTAACATAACAGCTTTATGGAGATACATTTTACATACCACAGAGCACATCCCTTTATCCAGGGGTTTTAGTATGGCCACAGACTTGAGCAAGCACCACCACTACCTAACTCTAGAACCTTTTCCTCATCCCAGGGATAAACTCACTGGCAGTCATGGTTCCTCCCACCCAAACCTCTGGCAACCACAAATCCACCTGCTGTCTCTACAGACTTGCCATGCTATGCACGTCCCTTCCTCCCCCCACCCCCCAGACAGGGTTTCTCTCTGTGTAGCTTTGGTGCCTGTCCTGGATCTCACTCTGTAGACCAGACTGGCCTCAAACTCACAGAGATCCACCTGACTCTGCCTCCCCAAGGGGCGTGTGCCACCATCACCTGGCCTGTGCAGGTCTCTTAAAAAGCAGCATAGACTATGTGGGGTTTCGTAACTGGCTTCTTTTACTTGGCACATTGTTTTAAAGACCGTAGCATGAGGCAGTATTTCACTCCTTTTCGTGACTGGCTCATACTCTTTGCAGGTACATTATGTACTTCACTTGGCCATTTGTAAGTTCCTAAATATTTCGATCACTTTTGCCATTTGGCTATGATGAATAATGCTGCTATGAACGTTTGTGTACAAGTTTTTGTGTGGGCATGTGTTTTCAATTCCCCTGAGGACATACCTGGCCTCTGTCCTCAGACTCACATGCTGAGTCACATGCTAACTCTATGTTTAACCTTTTGAGGAACTGCCAAATTGTTTTCCAAAATAGTTGCCCTTTTACAGTTCCCACCAATAACCTATGAGGACATCAGTCTGTCCACCTTTGCAGAGACTTGTCACCGTCTGTCTTTTTTTTTTTTTACCATAACCAGCTGCATGTTTGGTAAGGCCAACATTCATAAAACTTGTACCAATGTACGAAAATGTGGACCAACAAGATGGCTCAGTAAGTTAACAGTGCTTGCCACCAAGCCTGACCTCCTGAATTTGATCCGTGGACCCCACATGATAGGTGTAAAGAACTGACTCTTGTAGAGAAGTTGTCCTTCGACCTCTATACACACATGCATGTGCATGCACACATGCATACACACACATACACATACACACACACATACACACACACACACACATCAAAAAATGCCATTGGGACCAGTGAGATGGCTACAGGTGCTTGTTACCAAGCCTGATGATCTGCATTTGATCCCAGGAATCCAAACAGTGGAAGGAAAGATCGATTTGCAGAAGAAGTTGTCTCTAAGCAAACAAACTTAATTAGGAATTACATTTTTTAAAATGTC